CTTTGAGATATTGAATTGTTTAGATGCTCTCACATTAATTAGAAACACCCTGAGTATCTCATATTATGACTTCCATGCCTTACGGTTTCACGATTACCAAATCTTTACAGTTAAATCATTATATTATGTGTTTTTCTATAAATACGATTTCATTCTATCACTGTTTGCAGATTTTATTACCTAATATTTATTTTTATATAATAAAACAAAATTTAAAAATTAATCTCAATAAAATTTGGCAACATTCAATTTCATAAATCTTTTTTTGCAACGACTACACGCATGATCTAATAATGAATTTTCTATTAAACAGATTTTACACTAACAGTAAAAAGTTCATGATAGAATCAAACATATATGCTTATTAGTTTAGCAGAAACTTCATTATCTCATATTAGGAACCTATTCCATAATAGACGACTTTACCCTATTTGTTATTTAGTGTCTTAAATTAAAAACTTTTGTGTAAACATCTTTTGCTACTTGTCACAGTCGCGAACATCGGACGACTTTCCACAAAGGCAACACCTTCGTTGATCCCACCTTTCCAATCGTGATGCATCTGCTGGCGGATGCATCCCGCAATTGCCACTTCACGGTCAGTCAAAATTCCCATTCAGATTTTAATATAAATGCTAGAGGAGCCAAACCCATGGAACCGACTGTGGACATTGTGATGCTGGGTTATCCAAGAGACAATGAGAATCAATACCTGAATTTCATAACCAGCGTCGAGGATCTGAACTCCAATATGGATTCCTTAACTCTGCACGATGTGATGAAAAGCACAAAGAACATCAGCGACGCTCATCCTTCAACAACCTTCGGAGAGGGTAGTCTTAGGGAGCCATTGGCCCTTCCAGGAGTTTCTCAAGGTGTCGTGATCGAAGAGGTGACCAGCTTAGACGAAGTCGTCTCGTCGGAGTCGACAAAACCGTCGACCGCGCCGAAGACCTCGTTGGATACAAATAGCTCAATGCCATCTGAGGAATGTGCCCTCGAGGACGCGAAGAATGATTTAGGGATATCTCCGAGAACTACGGATACAACGGAAGACCGGAAACAAGAAACTGAAGGACAAGAGTCTGATCGCAACCCTGAGAGTGTTGAAGACAGCGACGATGCAAATAAAAATTTTAACGAGTTCTCTGGCAATAGCCGTGAGCACATAGAAGAAGAGAAGGATAAAACGTGAATATCTTCATGAATCATGTATTCGTGGAGACGTGTAGGCTGACATGAGCAGGAGTCGCGAATTGTATGATCGACCAATTGATTCCTCCCATTAAAATTGTTAGGAATTTGCAAGACAATGATTGTTAGAATTCTATTGCACATTGAGATATTTTGCAAGAAGCACTTGCGTTTTATATTATTCATAACGCAAAATTCAGAATGTTTGTTTGTTTATTTATTTATGTAGAAATAAATAGACGGTAACGAGAAAGATATCACTCAGGAATAGTAATTAATGTATACGAAAAAAATTATGACACATAGTGCTCAATTACTAATTTATATACGAGGGACATGCAACGAGCTGTAAAGTCGCAATTTCGCTACACGATATAAGCGAGCAGTCTCTTTTTCCGCTTTTTACATAGTTTGAAATTATATTGTCTATCTTTGTATATGCAAAGAGCATCAAATAAATTGCATATATAAGATAACTCAATTCGCTTTCACTTTAGAATATCTACCATAAAAAATATTTAATCCAATCAACAAATATCGATAGCTATAAAAATGCAAATTAAGTATATTCTTGCTATAAAATATAGCTATAAAATTGCAAATTAAGTATATTCTTAATAATAAGATACTTTCAACGTTTTTACTGCATAATTATGGCCTATGAATTAATTACAAGTTAACTTAATGACGCAAAAATCTTAAATTGATGGAAATAATTGCTCGTTTTGCTTTATATTTCGCGTTAGGATAACTTGCTATTTAGTGGCTGGCTCCTAGAAAATGCAAAAGTGAAAATACAGTATAGAGAAATTTCATCACAGTGAAGTGTTTTATATTCTTTGAATTTCTGTGATTGCTAATTATGTATCCGTAATAATCAAAAAGCTTCGAAATCGAGCTGACAATGTTTTGCAATTTGGATCACGCAGAATTAATGCAAGCAGCTCGGATGCGGACCTTGGTACATATTTTTAGTGCCCGCCGCGATCTAAAGAGAGAAAGAGAAGAGAGAAAGAGACGAATGACGTATCAGTATCGTGGTCGTCTCGAGCGTCCAGTGAGCGGGGATCCAAGGTAAGGGCACGACGTCGCAGTGACGTCATCGGGCGTCGCGACGCCGTCGTCGCCGCCACTCGCTACAACACGCGTGCAGGCATCACCGAGATCAGTCGTAGCAACCGTTTTCTTCTTTTCTTTCTTTCGTAGTGATCGTCGTGTATATCATCGTTTCCAAACTCTGTCACGCTCGCTAATAGTCGCGAGCGATCTGCTACCGCTGCTTTGTCACGTACGTCCAGTATCTTTGAAAGGTAAGCTAATCAACATTCGCGAATGCAGCTGCGGATAGATTGCTTCGTTCTGAGAAAGTTTTCAAGACAATATCTTTATCGCATTCTTTTGCTTCACCTTTCTTAATTGATATTTGAGTTATCTACGTATTTTTAAATATGTACAATTTGGCCTTCAATTTTGGTTGATTTTCACAGTCATGAAAGTGGCATTAATGAATATTGAAAATGATGAAATCGATTTCTTTTAAAGAGAGCCTTTAATTAATAGAAGATGTGTCTGCCATTATTTTAATGTCTATATTACATTAGACTTTGCAAACTTCCTAGCTATTAATATTATTATCGATAAATTACACAGTGAAGATCTCTCTCTCTCTCTCTCTCTCTCTCTCTCTCTCTTCCTTGCTCTTTATTTTATATTTTTATAAAACTATAGTTTTACCTAAAAATTTTATATTAATTAAAATACAATATTATTTAATCTCGCCTAACAAAAATAATATATATGTCCACTTCTCTATCTTTAGGAAATGTATAAAATCACCGTGCAATTTTCATTTGTGAAATCAATATCCCAATATAATCTAAACTAATATGAAACAAAGAATAATAATATATTCATATTAATTAACAAACACTAGAAATATCAATTATAAATATAATTTATAAAAACATTTTGTTAGACGCAAAATACGTGATGGAGAACGAGACGAAGCGCGTCATGCGTACGCGCGCGAAATTTACGAACGGGATCGTTATCGATGTCCGAGCCGGCCGATTGGATGACGCGTATCCGAGTATATTTTCGTGATGATGAGCATCGGTGAAGAGTTATGCGCGAATACGCAGAGATCAAACAGCGGACGCAAACAAATTGGAATGTTCTTGGCCGCACGCGCGCGGACTTTCGTCGCACTCTCGCGAGCATCAATCATCAATCAGCGTATATTGGCCTCAGGACGACGAATTCGCTGTGACGCGCATGTCGACCGCACTCACGAGACCAAAATTAATGCTATCCCAGGCGCATTACGAACACTTTGCGAGCTCCCCAATACAGCGTTCTCCCCTGACACGATGCGATCAATCAAGCCGCAAGTGGAAGAATAAATGTCCGAATGGTACTTGAACAAGTGTATTGTATAAAGTTCTCTAAATTAAATTGCTTACATTATATTTCTCAATGAATGAGCGTATCGTTCAGGAACAGAAATAAAACGAAAATTGAAAATACTTTAAGAGTGAAGAAATATTCTGGCACTTGATTAAATTTAATATAACGTAGTGGCAACTTTTTCATAAATCATGCATTTTTTCTTATTTGATTATAAAACAGATAACATGTAAGGTAATAATGAAAAATAGCATACATACACTAAGAGAAAAATGTATTAGATATTAATAATTATTTGAGTAGCATTAATATAATATTTATTTACGGAAGATAAATATTTGCTAAATAAAACATAATATTAATAGATAAATCAAATCAAAAGCTAAAAACGCGAGCCGGATTTTATATCGCTTTGCGAGAAAACTAGAGAAAGAATGCAGTTCAGGAGCAATTTGAATTACCATAAAACGTGAAGCCACAAATTATTTTTATTTTTTTTTTTAATACATATTTACCTTATTATGAAAGAATGTATCTTATTTTTTATACACTGAGAGAAAAATATATTGAATTTTAATAAATATTTGTTTGAATAGTGCCACTTGAATATTTACTAAATACATATTTACTTTATTATGAAAGAATGTATCTTATTTTTTATACACTGAGAGAAAAATATATTGAATTTTAATAAATATTTGTTTGAATAGTGCCACTTGAATATTTACTAAATACATATTTACTTTATTATGAAAGAATGTATCTTATTTTTTATACACTGAGAGAAAAATATATTGAATTTTAATAAATATTTGTTTGAATAGTGCCACTTGAATATTTACTAAATACATATTTATCTTATTATGAAAGAATGTATCTTATTTTTTTATACACTGAGAGAAAAATGTATTTATTTGATTCTTGTACCAAATAAATATATGTTTACATTTAGTAAATATTCAAGTGACACTATTCAAACAAATATTTATTAAAATTCAATACATTTTTCTCTCAGTGTATAAAAAATAAAATAAATTCTTTCGTAATGAGGTAAATATGTATTTAAAAAAAAAAAGTAAAAATAATTTGTGGCTTTACGTTTCATGGTAATTCAAATTGCTCCTGAACTGGATTTTTTCTCCAGTTTTCTCGCAAAGCGATATAAAATCCAGCTCGCGTTTTTAGCTTCATTTAAAAGCGCGCGAAGGCCGTCCCGGAGCTATCGGGTAATCCGCGCTCACCCTCTGCCAACTTTGTACGAAATTAACCCATCCTCGGATGCGTGAAATAAGACATGAAGGTGATCGACGGTTCGGAGAAACCGAACGGGCCTCTTTTGCCGGCGGGTTATCATCGCAGAACGCATGCGTGATAGATCCATCTTTCGTCCGAGGCGGATAAACCGCGCTCGCTGAGCTAACTCAGCTAACGTGTGTACCTCTTTGTCGTGCGTTCGTTGCGCGTCAGTTTCCCGTTCCGCTTCTGGCTAGGAGGACGCGCGATAAGGAGATCGCGGAAGTGAGCGCAAAAGTGTTCTGCCAGGAAAAACGATCGTGTCTTTTTCATGAGATAAAATTCCCGCTTCCCAGAGAATCGGGAAGATCTTGCTCCACCTGCTCTCTACCAATAAATCATCGTGGAGAACATCGATCCGAATTTTACTGAAGACTTTCATAATTATTTTTTGCGATTCATTTCGCAGATGTCTAATCGCGATTGAGGTTTCCCAGAAGATCCCTGAAATAATAGGGAGACCTGGTTTTCCTTCTGAAGAAAATTTTTACTGAGAAGGAAGCCGCTCTTTTTTTGCCATCGATATATTTATAGTTGATCGAAGATACCCTGAGGTGATTATCTATCCTATTTCCGTTAGTGGCATTATAAATAATCAACGGATTATCCTGTCTGATTACTCCGTTTTGGAACAAATCTTTAAATACATCTTATACGAATCTTCATTCGGTTTTTCGTTCAGAATATCATTCCGATAAATCGCCAGAGGAACTTTTGAATAAGTCTGTTCTTTCGGGAATGATCTTTACAAATAATCAAGAATAGCCTGAATTGTTTTCGCTCTTGGGATCGATCTTTATAAATAAGCCGTGAAGGTACACGAATCTCTCCGGAAACGATTTTTGTAAGCAATCCGGGAAAACGCCAAATTTCTGCGGAGTCGGTCTTCGTGAAACATCTTGGAGAACTCGGAATTTTACGAACGGACTTTAACGACCGAGACACGGAGCTTCGCATAACCGGCTTAGAACTCCGTTCATGTCGCAGACTTCGAAGGAGGACGCCGACGCGATGAAGGCTAACACTGCGGCGACGAAGATCCAGGCCAATTTCCGCGGATATCGCGTGCGCAAGCAGCTGAAGGAATCCACGCAGCGCCGTCGTCAACAACAGCAGAATCAGCAGGACCAGAAACGGAACCAACAACAGCAGCAACAGCAGGAACATATGAAGCCGAAGGAGCATCTGTTGAAGAGACAGAGCACTCAGGAGGCGCTCGAGGAGAAATCGGCGACGAAGATCCAGGCGGGCATTCGCGGTTTCCTGGTGCGAAAGAGACAGCAGGCCGTTCAAGCCGCGGCAACGAGGATCCAAGCTGGCTTCCGTGGTTTCAGGACGCGGAAACTGCTGAAGCAAAATGGTCAATAAGCTGTCCTTTCCTGGTGTGAGAGACAACGTGGGACATTGACGTGTGCAAGAGGTTCTCCCCGTTTATGTCTCGTGATTGCGCTGACGTAAATTAGAACTTGTTACTGATGTGATGCATTTGCTGCAAGGCTGAGTGGAAGATGTGATAATTACTTCGATCTACATATATATTCCCAATCCGTTTCTCTTAAGATCTAACAGAATTATACTTGGCTATTGAATACGTAAATTTTTTTGTGTGAATCTCTGGAATGTGTCTTTTCTAACTTATATAATGCTATCAGATGAGTATTGCAAAATTAATCATTTTGAAATATACGTTAACAAATTTTTCCAAAAATATTCTAATTTAACACACCTAAGACATGCATATTGTCTATTTGAGTATAGATATATTATGTAATATATTATATAATATATATTCTTTATTATTATACAATATATGCATGTGTGAGTATGTCCCAGCAAACAAATTGATATTATTGCTATTTTGACGTCACAAAAATGACGTCTTTAAGATCACTAAAATCTTGTTTGCTGGGATATTATACAATAATATCCAGAAAAAAATTAAAATATTACTTTTTTCTAAAACTATTTAAAAGTATTTTTTTAGCAAAAATAGATAAAAGAATTTTTTTGTCTTTATTTAATTTAAAAATTTAGTTTAATCTTACTTATACGCGTGTTTTGGAATAATCACAGGACATTTACATGTAATAAAAATTATTTAATATCTTCTTTTATTCCGACCATTGCGTGTATGATATTAGCCAGAAATTTTCTTAAAATATAAAAGAATTATTTTTCAGGCGTATTTGAAATCATGGTAGCTCGCGATGATTGCGACGATTGCGTGCTAATACTAATCGGCACTCATTAACTGCACAAGGAAAATGTAAACAGCTGCAACATGTGTCTGCGACATCTCAGCGCTTATAAGCGGTTTAAATATAACGTCGAGCTTGCGCCTCGAGCCCTTGACCCTTAAATTCTTCTTAGCACCGAATTCTTTGGCACGTCTCTCGACCTTCTCCATATATTTGTTCTTATATTGTGTATCGTTTATTTTTCAGCATTTTGCGGATTCCTTTGTAACTCGGACAAGACCTGCAATTGGATCGGAGGCGAGAAAGGAAATGACAATTTAAATTAAGTTGATTACATTGTACTCTTTTGAGACCGTTTGTCTTTGAACTGTAATATTATTAATGGAAGCTATCTCGGGAATTGATCGATAATTAACGGAACATTGCTTTACAATATTTATTATTGTTCTTATTTTCTTATTTCGATTTTTTTCCATGATGATTTTCACATGAGAACGATGGCAATAAATAATAATGTCGAAGAAAGAAGTAATGTCGAAGACATCGCATCTTGAAGGAAAGCGGTTGATATATATATATAATGTGTGTGTGTGCGTGTGCGTGTGTGTGCGTGTGTGTGTGCGTGTGTGTGCGTGTGTGTGCGTACGTGTGTGTGTGTGCGCGCGCGCGCGCGCGTGTGTGTGTATGATAGGAATTAGTTAAATAATTATATAAATCTTTTAATATACTCTCTTGTTATATCATTTTTTATGTAATTAACGCGTTATAAATTCGAATCCTACAAATTATAATCGAAGATACATCTATAGCGTAATTTTGTATCCAATCCGTTGATAAATGATACTTGTGTAATGATTAGCGCATAAAAAATGTATATATTAATATATATTTTTTGTTGTTGTATTTGCGTTTTATGATTCTGCCCGGATTTTGTGTATAATAAATTTTTAATCTTTGTAATAAGTATTTATATATACATATATATATATATGTATATATATGATGATTATATTTAATATATAGATATTAAAGAATACTCTTACACATTTTTTGTAATTTACTTTGGTGATAAGTATACATTATTTAATATATATTCATTTGCCATTTTTTAACTGAAATGAGATTATATTATGTATGTGTGTAAATTTGATACATTATCCGACGAGTAAAGCAGTTCACCAGTAATTCTGGATGGCAGCACTTATATAGGAAAGCCATATTGTCTTCAATATTCAAGATGCTTTTTAAAATCTTTAATTTTTTAATCAATAACATAATATTTATGACTCAACCATTTCTTTTAAAAAGTGTTTTTTCAAAGCTTTGCTGATAAATATCGATAAAAGTCTATTTAAAATAAAAAAAGAAAAGATACTAAATAAAAAATGCGAAAGAACACTTTTATTTACGTAAACATGAGAGTTACACTTATCGCTTGAATAAACAAACCATTTCGTTTCATTTATCATCGTAAAGAAACAATTTCATCTTGTTGTGAATGAGGCAATAAGCTGGTTCTGGTTTAAGAGCGCGGATAAACAAATTAATTCGAGACGAGGGAAGGTACGTCAATGATGCGCACATGAATGCAACCAATTTTATTCTGTTGTCTGTTACATAGGGGCGGCGCGTTCGCCGAAATATTCACATCCGGTCTCCACAGAAATACCGAAAGTTATGTAAGATACTCGTTTTTGAGACGCTTACCAGACTAATCGGTGCGAGAGAAGTACCGGTGAAAAAGTCAACTATTAACTATTTTCGTGTTTATTTAATAAATATTAGTAACAGTCCGTTAGTGAAAGGCAAGGTATTGATATACTGACAATATTTATCTAAACGGGCACGCTTTATCGGGAGATCCCTTATCGCAGGGTGATCTCATTCTCTCCTTAAAGTTTAAACGCGTTGTTAAACGTAAACAATAAAAATAAATATTAAGATAAATGCGAAGTCGATATAACTCTCGTAAATATATACGTAATCAAAATGTCAAATCGGAATGTCAAAAATCATGTTATGACTGTTTTTACAGAATAGAGTTTTTACAGAATAGAGTAGGGAACAGGAGAGGGAGGACTTTTGTTATCTTCCTCATGTACTTCAGAATCATTTTCTTCCGCTTTTTACTCTCGACAGAGATCCGGCTTTTTAATGTTTCCTGACACGAAATTCGAGGATCCCGTCGATCGCCCCTTGTTATTCGCAAGAGGCGCGATTCACAGCCAAGGACTATGCGCGATGATTCATCTCTCACGAGATCAATCTAGCCGGTACGCGCGCGCTCTCGCTATAATAAGCACGCGGACACGGGCGCGGTTTCATTGAGACATGCGTGTATAAAGATGGGATAACGTAATTAAAAAATCACAGAAATGCCATTATACACGAACAAAGGCACCGTCGTCTCGTAGGAGCAGGAAATGGGGATGAGGGTGTAGGGTAGAGACGAGGCTCTGACGAGCTATCTATCACAATCGAAGATACCTAATGGGATTATATCGTGAAATGTAATAAATAATTCGGAAAATCACTAATATATATATCCGCGTTTTTCTCCATCTTTCTCATTTCACATTCGCTCCTCTCACATTCGTCGTCTCATCCATTCGTCGTTCTTTTCGTCCATCCGGGGGTTGGTTTAGGTCTCCGTTTACTTGGTGAATCGATCGATGGGGAAGTTGTCGAAGATATCGGGATAGCTCCGCGTCTCCAGGCTCTGATGGGGCAAACAAGTGTTTGCGAAGCACGTGAGGCTGTCCACGCTGCAACCAGTGCAGCGATTGCAACTGCAGATCAATCCGTCGCCGCACACTCCCCAAGAATCGCTTGGACCACCACAAATATGCCCGGGACCCTACAGGAAATCGATGTCAATAAGATCGCGAAAGTTCATCATATATTCATAGAATTCTCAACGAATTTCCAAATGGAGATCAATGGAACATTGAAGATAAAGACAGAATAAAACTTGTTCAAATTTGTATTAAATTTCACATTAAATGAATTTTATATTAAATAAAAATTGTAGTACAATCCAAAAAATTGACCAAAGTTTAGAATACGAAACTTTAAATAAAAATCGAAATTTTATTTTTTATAATAAATCTTGGTTCATATTTAGAACTTTTTCTCAACACTTTTATCAATAAATGTATATACTTTTAATTTAATTTATACGCTTTTATTTCTGAAATTTTGTAGTGTATGTAACAAATTATAATCATTTTAAGCGCGTTCTAAATACGAATCTTTTATGATATACGATGAAATAACGTTTAAGAATGATTTTCTAAAGTGGAACAATGCATCATATTATTATTCGCAGAGAGTCGACGTTGTGTAACCGAACTCGCATTGCTCGCATTTGTCGCCACAGCCCACACACAGCGGTCTCGGTTCGTGTCGCTGTGCGATCGCGGGATGCGCGTGACACTTGTCAATCCTGTAACACCATTAGAACTATGTTAATTACCATAATATATGTACAGTATAAGGCCGATATTCATAGTTAGTCTTTATATTTATGACTATTTTAAGTACAATCTTAAGATGTCATGAACCAATCAGAGCTGAATTAATATCTTAAGACATTACTTAAGACAGTGAATAAAAACGGACTATAAATATCAGCTTAAGATTTTACATTTTATGATTTTATTCATTATCCATTCGTTTTTAATGCTTACAGGAAGACCGCGGCCAGGAGAACGAGCATGTAAGTGAGTTGGAAGGTAAGCATAGTGATCCACCGATCTGAAACAGAGACGACGTGCATGTAAATCGCCATGCTTTTTCTTACCGTAGAATTTTATAGCTAATGTAAAGATGAAATTATAATATAATTATAACAAAACTCTTGTTTGACATTAAAATGCTCGAACAAATATCTGAACTATTATTTCTCCATGTATCAATCTTTTCATACAAACCTTTTCTTTATCGCAATAACATAAATAAGTGATCCTTGTGCCTAGTTGAATAAATTTATAGTGCTCGAAAAGCAGAGCGTGAATAAATAGTGAGGAAAAAAATAAATTTTAAATTAAAAATTTGCTTTAAAAATAAAATATATATGTTTCGATATATTAATCGTCAAGGATGGCAGTAACGCGTTATTTTGCTGATCGTTACCTCGTTATAATAACGATTTGATAATAATAACATTGTGAATTTTTATGACAATAATTAGACTCAGAATTAAAAAAATCAATTGTTATTTGTAACGAGTTGAAAAAGTCATTCATTATTGAAAAAAATACTCCTTTTTTCATTAATTTGTTACGCGTTATTTGTTACTTTTTACTTTTTTTTAGTAAGTAACGCGTGATGATAACAAATTACTTTTCAAAATAACTTTTCTAACTTTAGCACAACGTTTAGTTAGTTAACGTTACCGTCATAAAAAATTACAACATTGTCATCAAATTGTTTATTATAGAAAGTAATGACAAACTAATTGAAAAGTAATATTTGCCAATCCTGTTTGTTAATCGTACATTAATATTATGCATGATTTCCAATGTTTTTCGTGATAGTTGTTATTAATAGTTACATTTCCGATATTTATCACTTTAATACTGCCGCGAAGCAGTCTTGCGTAATTAATAATGCTGTCGCGATTTGTATTGAATATTAATGTGAGTGACTTTATGTCTATGGTAACTATGTAAAATATAATTCTTTTGTAAAAGATAATTAATAATTACAATGATAAATCATTTGCTTCTCATAAAAAATAATTAATCTTTTTTTTTATAAAATAATAATTAATAATCTTCTTCTTATATATATATATATATTGCGATATATATATATATATATCGCAATACCACAGATGCGGATTATCTTTCCATTTACCGAGTTCAATCACCCCGTTTCAGTGTCTTGACATTATATGCAACAATGCTAGCACCAGGAATATTGAATATCCACGAAATATCGAGGTAGGTACCATGCTGTAAAATTGACTTCTCATCGCCAGTATGTCATTAATTGCTACATATCTACAACGCGAGCATGTAGGATGAACGATATTTCGATCCTTTCTCTTTGAGGTGTACCAAAATATGTTATACAACTGACTCGTTGCAGAATATAATTGTATTCATTTAAGAAAACAGTATATAATGTTTGGGCAAGAGATCGAAGAATATTCCAATCACTAAAAGATTACATGAATGTTACGACATGTATCCAGGAATGAATTAGGAATGCACGGACTTCAATAAATTCATCAAAATCAACACAATCGCACGAAATAATGCACACTTCAGCGTCTGACATATAGACACTTGGAAACACGGCCATCAAACGTAGACATAAAGCATGACATCAGTCATAGGCTTCTATATCGTGAAATAAAATCTTTTATAATGCTCTGTCTTTATTCAGATTCATATGTCTTTGTATAGATTCACGATTATATTATTTATTTTACAGGAATATCAAACGTAATGATGATAACGATGATAAAGATGACGGCGACGAAGATAATGAAAATGATGACGATACTACAACCCGACGCGATGCGAGAACCAAGGAAAAGCCGTTCGTGCCGGCGACCCGTCGCGAGAATTAAACGGGTAAAACTGATGTCCCACATCGCCACGATGGTCCCCACTCTACATATAGCGAAACGGTTTGCAAAGCCTCCATAACTCCGCGGGGCAGACTACCGGCGTGAACCGATTTTTCATTAAAAGAAAGGACAGCCGAACTCAATGCTACTCAAACCCATTCATCTCAGAAATGACTATTCTTCATCGCCACTGATGCATCTATCTTCCCGATGCTTATCGAGCTTGCCATTATAACATTAAAAGATCTGAGTTTAAAAAAAATTAAAAGTGACCGGGAAGATAGAAAATTCTGCAATCTCCCAACACGTGATAAAAGGATGAGATAAGATACTGTTTAATTAACAATATATGTAATAGATAATAAAATGACATGCGTAATATGTAATTGGAATCTTGTCTTATTTCGCTTTTGTTTATTTATTTGTCGATCCGTTTTCTTGATCTGTTCCGTAATCAAGAATTTTAATATAGAATTCAGAATTTATACGTATTTCACAAATAAAACTCCAATTTACATTGATTGCAATTTATTCATCACACGCAATCGTAACTGAACGATTTTGCGAATCTTCAATGCTAAATAGAAATAGATTTTTAAACATCCTTGGGTTCATTGACCGAAAAGGCGCCATGCATCGAGACAAAACAAGCAGATCTCTCTTGATATTCTGTTCGAATGTGCTAATAACACAAACATTTCATGCGACCACATGATCTACTTTCCTTCAAACAAGGCTTTCCTTCTTCTCTTCCATAACTATTCGTAAACTTCCGTTCGTAAACAAGGAAACTTGACGGGCTGACTCAGCATTGATACTCACGGCCTCCTTTATTCCGTTTTTTTGTAAGCGCGCGTGGGTGCAACAATAAAAGAATTTGTTTTATCTTGTATTTTTGTCGCAATTTTCCTTATCTACTATTTTGCACAATTGTGTCGCAATCTTATCTATACATGTTTGTGGGTCATTACTTTTGGAATTCGAAATAATAATCTCCCTATACGTATAAATATTGCAAGGAGACTTTGGTCCCTCTAAAAGCGTAATAAATATGAATAGCAACACTAATTCGACCTTTTAATCCCGTAGTTATCACATCTTTTCTCTTTTTGGATTCTCTTAGAGAATCGCTGCTCAGAGATGCACGATGACGATGTGTGATTCCGTATGCGCCACAATTATTTTTCGCGAACATTTGTTATTAATATCAGCGTATCTAGTCATTCTATGTAATATCTTGACGCCATGTGCGTCGGCAAGTTTACAAAAAAATTGCATTAAAATAAAATAATGGAAATGCAGATACGCGTCTTGTGCTATGTTTTTCGTCTTGCACACAAACCGGCTATGTTTGGTTTGGTATTCGTGACGATCTTTTATTTTCCGTGCGAAAGGGAGCGAATAAAGAAATTTTTTTTTCGGAACGCACAAAAGAGCGGTCTGATGATTATTTGTGGACGTACTATATCTTCTCATTGTAGGTCATTGCGTCGAACCACGGAGTCTTTCTAAACTCTACTGCGAACCGGCGTAAAATTAGCTTCTCAGACGGCGACTAGCTGATTCCCTCTCGATGAGTAAAACCATACGTACCGCGAGAATCGGGTCAATGACATGAAAAACATACATCTTTGAGTTTTAAAACCCAATTTGCGATTTTTAGCTGTAAACCGATTATATGCGTTAAACGATAATTGCAGCCGTTAAACGTTCAATATTACTAAACAATATTTTACAAGTGCACGGAAAAAAATATTTGGTTGAATTAACTGGAATTCTGATAGAAAATAAATAATCCAGAATTCTGATTAAATCTACTAGAATTTTAATAGTTTTACCAGAAATCTAGATCATTAATCAGAATTCTGGATCGTTCATTTTCCACTCAAATTCCAATTAATTCAATCAAACATTTTTCTCTGTGATATAAAATATTTCAAAGAACCTTTGATTAATACAATCTAGTTGACACCAAATAAAAGTAATATAACATCTATGTTATAATTTTGCATTTAACCAGAGATGAAAAGTAAGACGTTCTTGTAATTTTTTATCGTTATCGTTAGTTTTTCATAATATAATAACAATTTGTTAATAACTTTATAATTTTTAATGAATAACACGTAATAATAATAAATTAAGATCATCATAACATAAATTATATAAGACTTCTGAAATAATGAATATCTTACATAAATCATAGCGTCTTTACGCTGGATACTTATTGATCCAGCTTATATTATTTTGTGCGTGTGTGATGGATTACTTTTCAAAAGTGATTTTCCATCCCCTGACGTTATAATTACCGTGATAAAAAATCATGCCTCCTGATTGTACATAATATCATTAATAACCTTCCTAAACAATTCAATATAATTCTCAATATAATTTTTAATTAAATTGTGTAACATTTAGTTAATTCTTGTTATAAATGTAACTGTATTTAATTTTGACCTTACTTTTATAAATCATAGCAATATGTATAGATTTCACATAAAAAAAATTCCATCCAGTTTAAAAATTTACACATTTTGTCTTCAATAAATCTTAGCTTGCTTAATAATTAGATGTCGGCTCAATCTCATCATAAATATTTTTACAATCAATACATGTCATTTATAAGGACAATTAGATAAAATTAAAGTTACATATTAAGGATTAACATAACAATAATTAACTAAATTATTATATACAATTTAATTATTACATTAAAAGTTGTATTGAATTATCTAGAGAAGCAGATTGTCAATAATATTGTACCATATAATTGTTTAATAATATTGAAGCGTTCAGGCCACTCATTCAAAAAGTAGCGAATATTATGTACAAGAGAAATTTTAATCTTGCCAGTGTGCGCATTAAACACGGTTACGTTTAATGTATATATAAGAGCAAATCTTCATATTAAATAAATAAGAATCGGAACACTGCGCATAAATACGATCCACAGTTTTAAGAAACAATATAAATAGTTTTCGTTTATTTTCGTGGCATTGTTGTACCCGAACTAATTTCACGTGGCCGTACGTATCAATCTCGTGGTCACTACGCAATCATCATACCAGGAACCAGCGAAATCACCGACTAAAATCGTGCGTTCTACGACAGTAGTGAATGACGCGCATCGTGACTGTACATAGAAAATTTGGCGTGTGGAATTTTCATTGAATTTTTCGCGGTGATTAACCTCGTAAATTTAGTCCACTGCGCAAAATAGCTTCGTGTCTTATTTATAGATTTGCTTTGTACAAGCGCATGAATTTTAATATCATCATTTTTATTAGTAACACATAAATATTTATTACAGTAGATTAGAGAAATTTTATGTCGTACATAAATCCAAGGTATTTAAATATTTTATATCGACAGTATTTTATATTGTAGTTGAAAGAAAGAGATAAATGAATCACGTAATAAAATTGCTGTAACTGTAAAATTTAATATTTATGACAGAGTATTTATAGAATTATCCACAACAGAGAATTCACGCAACGTCGTAATTTTTTAATGCAAAGTCATCAATCTCAGGAAATGACAAACTCATTTCTTTAAATCGTAAAATATAGATAACAAGCAATAAGAAAGTCAACCAGATTATTGCGAATCGACAATTAATTCAAATTCGCTTAATTCTTAGATAGTCGAAAACCGCGAATACTTTCATAGAGCTGCGCGTGTTCTCCATTCATTCCGGATTGCAGGCGGCCTGTAGAGAAAATCTGCAAGGGAGCTTTCACGGTTCGGTAAACGCCGTCCAATGAAACACGACATCGTATCTCTGCCTGCTAAGAATAGCCGAAGAAATTTGCGTTGCTCGACGCAGATGCCAAATTCTCCCTTCCTCTAACTAATCCCACCCTCTTGTCTCCTCTATTCCATCATCTACCTTTCTTTCTCTATCCGTACCCGCCCCATCCGTTCTGTTTCTTCTCTTTATCTTTCGCTGCGTGCTCTCCCTTCTATTTATTTTTATGTATCTTCTTCTGCACTGTTAAACCTCTTATTCCATTTCTCTTTATTCCGTTTCTTATTTTCTGATTATTATATCTCTTCTCTCTTCTGCCACTCTTCTATTCCATCCCTCCCCCACCTTTTCTCTTTCTTTGCTGTTCTCATTTTTTGTCACATGTACGTAGTTAGTTACGCACACACATCGTCTTATTTCGTTACTCCGCTGGTACAAAGACTGAACGGTCAGTATCGTACCAGTTAGCATTCGTTTTGGACGTGCGGTCAAACGGCAGCGACGAAACTTATTCCATAGTGAGACCCCGCAAAGACATATCTCTCGAAGGTGAATCTCCTAATAAACCGAAGAACTAAAGGTTTCGAGAGAGAAAACTAGAAAAAGCGAGAGAGAGAAAGAGGACTTTTTCAATTCCTAGAATTTGCAATTTTCTTGTGGAGGATTAAATTCGTACTCTTTGTCATCATTTAAAAGTAAGTAGCCATCGAATACCATCGAAGTTTATTTGACTAACAAATAAATTCTAATTCTATATAACAATTCAGTTATATTTTGGAGATGCAAATATCAATAGAGAATCAACGTCTTAATAACAAAGTTGTATACTTAGATGTAATTTAATAACAAAGTTGTATACTTAGATGTAATTTTTAAAATCTCTAACATTAGATGCTGTCTCATTATAAGATTTTAATAAAATTAAATCAAAAAGCCATCATACATACGTTATATTACATTATTTTATAATTATGTAGCTATATAGTATTAATGAGAGAGAGAGAGGAAGAGAGAGAGAATACAAGTTAAATTTTTAACTCTTTTCTATCACGATAATACTGTTTAGTTTAATTTAATTTCAATTTTAATACATTATGGAGAAAATTATAAAATCAGAATCTATAATTATAGAATCCTACCTAATTATAATTAATGCGAAAAGGAAATTTAATAAAAGATCAAGAGTAGACACGTGTTTGGATAAACGCCTCGTAGGACTGATTGCATTGGTCCTGTGACGATTGCATATTTAAAGATTCCCATCGCGCGTGGTTTGAGCTAAATGTGGCATCTGATTCTGCGTCTTATTTACTTCGTACATAGATTACCTTCAATGTAGACATACAGCAACAATCGAACAGGCATGATTTGGCACTAAATACACTTTAACATATATAATTTATGTTTTCATCTCTATTTAATACTTCTTGAAAATATAAAACAAACTATTTAAAATTTTTCATTGTTTTTGTTATTTTTAATTATACTTTTTCAGAGGGCGAGAACTACGCGGTGAAATGATTTTCTAATTAAGAATTATAAATTGAATTAAACGAGGAAATTAAACTTATTAAAATTTGGAAATAAAATTGCATCTGTTTTTTATTTTTTTCGCTATAAGATTCAAAAGTAGTCCACTTTTAATTGTGAAAGCTGTTGTCTATTAAGGATCCAAAATATATTCAATATTTTCAATGCACGTGCTTTTGATTTTTAATTTTCACCGGAAGTTGGACAAACATGTTTACTATTAACTGTTGACATAATCAAAACATTGTGTCAACTATAAAATGCAATTTTCGAAATTTGTGCCAAACGTGCCACGTTGCCTCCGCAGTTTTACATTGATCAATATATATCTCATCGAATCATCTGACAACACGTGCCTTTTGATGTATCTACGTCATTATAGATGTGTGAAATTTTACAAAAGAAAAGAAGAATTTTAATTAATTAATAAATAATATTTAATTAATAAATCACATTTTGAATCCAAGTTCATATTCAAAATCGCATATGTAAAAAATCCTAAAATTTTATAATGTACATCTAATGAATCTAATATACAATACTTGAAATTAAATGATTTCTCGCGATTTTTCGATGAGAATCTTAGAATTATTTAATGAGTCGAATTCCCGCATATTGAGAATAATTTGGTTGAAAGAAGATAAACTTGATTACCGTTTCTATTGCATGCACATTAAGAAATATACGGTTCTCGATTCAAAGAGTAACAAATATAAGTCACGCATACCAAACTATGGATAAATATACAAAGATCAAGAAATGGAATGGTTGGTACGGTAAATCGTTGAAGAGTAAAACAGAAGTATATCACTTTGCTCTCCCTTTTTCAAGAAGAAACAAGAGAAAGAGGAGGGGCAAATCTTTGTAAGAAGAGAACTTCTCGCGGTTAGAAATAGCTTGAAGTGCATCCGATGTAAAGAAGCGACATGATGCAGAAGACTCGAATCTATACAACTTGCCAAGAATGACTGATGCAAACGATTTCTGCGGCACGTTGATCGAGCTCATTTAACAATTTAATGCAATTCATGGAATTCCGATCTTAATAACCGTTAAGTAATTAGTGGTTTTTACAAGCTCACGGCATATCAAATCTTGTTTATTGAGCTTGATCCGATTTGCTGACTGTTCTTTAAAAAAATTTATGTATTGTAACGAGATTAAATAAAATGAAAGAGAAATTACCTGAACATATCAATTCATAGTGATAATAATATTATATAATTTAATTAATCTTATTATAAGACACAAAATTTCAAAGAACATGTTTAATCTATTGCAAGATTCAATCGAATTATCTGACATTGCATATCCCTCAACGTCGTAGATAATAACGTGCACAATTTTATAAAGAAAAAAAAAATATTTTAAAATAATATTTTGAAAACTAAAAGAGTTCCAAGATTTTCGAATAATATCTAATGGTTTCAATATCTAAAATTGGATGGCTTTCGCAGAGAAATTATTTGATTATTGTCTTTGCTATTCACAACGTCACAGTGTACGAAGTTCCTGATTCAAAGAGTAACAAATAAACTACGCAAACTGCAAATAAACATACAGAAGTCGAGAAAGCTCTCGAAATTATTGTGTCTTTATAACAATGAAGTTTATAACAGTGAAAAGCAGAGAAAATATTTAAAAGAATCTACAAATGTACTGCTTTAAGAAATAACATTAACGAAAGAATTTTACATTCTCGTTGTTTAATTTCAGGACCGAGATGGGTATGATAGCGCGCGTGAGGCGTCGCGTCCGCGCGAACTCGCTGACGGTCGACAAGGAGAAAACGGCGCAAAGCGTCTGCCTTCTAAGCGCGATTCTTCTTCTACCCTATTGCCCACGCGGTCCGCTGCCGCTTCTACCGTCGCCCGCACCGGTCCTATATTCAGCCCTTGTCCTGCCGGTCGTTTTAAGCGCGAATTACAGATATCCGGTCCCGACCCTCAAGACTCTTGCCGAGGCGGCTAAAGGTACAAACGGATACTCTAACACTGACCTCGCTACTTTTCCATCCTAGTTCGCCGATCTCATCTTCAGACTAAACCGATTTTTTTTTACTTTAGATTTTTTTAATCTTATTTTTCTTTTAGAATAATTTTCTGAAGGTCGAAATAAATTTTTATAATAATGAGATCTGTATCATTGATTTTGTGTCGATTATGTACAAAGTTACAATGTCAAATAAGATTTTTGATGAAAGTATTTTGAATGCACACATTAAACATATCGAGACAATCAGACAAGACAAGGCTCGATAAAATAATTGTTATTAAATAAAAAATATAAAACGAAGTCTACACACTTATTTAAAATTTAAAAAAATATATAATAGATTGCAAAGCTTATTTAAAATAATAAATACTAAATAATTATTTTATTTACGCATATTTTAAATAAGATTGTTATAAATGTGACAGACCTCTGATTGTGATATGACTTGTTTAAAATAAAAAATATAAAATCAAGGACACGAAATACGTAATAATTTTAATAAATAATTTTAACGATACTATTATTAGCAGTTTATATAATATTCGAGTTTAATAATTTTATGTAACTAATCATTGATCTCCTTTGAAAACGAATAAAATATAGAATTCTTCAGTTCTTAACAGTATTGGCTAAAGTTAAATTTTAAATTAAGCTATACTATTAAAATTAAATTTTTTTTTTTTAAACAATTGGATACAAAAGTCACAAATAATTCACTTCCCAATTAACACATTTAAATTCATTAAAAGAATTTTTTATTGCTGTTCGTTTAGTTTTGAATTCTACTTTTACCTTCACATTTAACAACAAATATTACAAATAATGATATTATTTTAGCTGCACCAACCGAATATTTGAATGAATACAAAAAAATTTTAGTTCATTATATGATAGATTACAATTCACAATGAAAGTTGGTTACTAAGCTAGGAGATTAAGCTTTCTTGACACAATAGTTATTATTGAAGATCAAAGAATTATATTTGATAGATATCAAAAAGCAACTTGTTCCGATAGATTCCTTAGTTTTTTTTAAGCCATCTGCTTTGTCACAAAGACATAATTTTTGGTACTGTGAACAAAATAATTCATCTGTCTCATCCACGATTTCACAAAAAAAATCCGACTAATGCTATCTATACATTTTTAAATAATGGGTATCCACTTCCTTTGATTTTCTCTGCAATACAAGAAAGATTAAAATATCATATATAAAATTATATTGTAAGAAGAAAAGATCTAGAAGAATTAGATTTGTTATTGCATCAGGACGTAGTCTACAAAATCTCCTGTGAAGATTGTGATATTAGCTACATTGATCAACGATACGAAAGTTAAAAACAGATTACATGAACATCGTTCGATATTAATAAAAAAACAGGTTCTCCATCTGTAATTACAGATCATCGGATTAATTTTAAATGGAACAACGTTAAAATTGTTGACAATGAATCTTTTTGACAATAAGAGATGATTCACATAAAAAGACAAAGATAAAGCTTGAACAAACAGAATGAAACTGAATCACTATCGAATATCTTAACATTATACAATTTCTTTCTCCTTTTCTTAATCCTCTCTTCTTTCCTCTTACTCCTTCCTTTCCATATTTACTCCCCACTTCCTCCCTACATTTCCACTTATTTCTTTGCTCTTTAATCTCATTTTATTTACAACGTTCCTCTGGTAATCAACTCCTGATCGTAGCAGTGTTACTTTGTTATAACAACGATAATATTATTAATCGGACTGTTTTACACGTATTTTTACTTGATGGTAGCAATGCTCCTTTAATTTATTACAATTTTATTAATTGGACTATTAATTGGACTTTTATTAATTTTCACTAAGATACACTTTTATTACATTCTATTATTTTACCGTTATTGCCACATTTTATTGTATTTAATAGATTTGTACTAACATATTCATCTATTTACGTATCAAGGTTACAATAACTGTAGAACGAGATCTAAGAGGTCTACATTAACTTTCACAATTTTCAAAAAAATATTGTACTTTCAGAAAAGATTGTAACGGTTTCATCTACATTGTTTTATCAAGAATTACAATTAAAGTGCATATAAAAACTCTACATTCAACCTTCACGCAACGAGATGTTAATTGCAAAAAATATCATCACACTTTTCATAAAGGTTCTGTTTTTTCTTAAAAGCAATTAATTTATTTCATTATAATGTTTTTGTGTAAATATCTGCGACTTACATTGATCCGATCGGTATCAAAACGTCTGTAAATTTTTTTGTTTATTGTTATTAATTTGTACATTAAAAGATCGAATTCATGCTCGTAGTCCATCTATTTTATAATTTTATTTAAATCTTATTAATAAATCAAAAATAGCCGATTTTAGTCTAATTATAAAACAGTATCGGTTAAAATTGAATTTTACGTCAAAAAATTAACTGTTGCAAAAAATTATCTGTTTTTAAAATAATATCAATACATACTGAGATTTCAAATTCCAGTTCAGAGTAAATAGTTCACTCCAATCCAGAGTAAATAGTTCATTCTCTAATTAACAGCATTTAAATTCTACATTAACGGTATAGTAATAGCGCCGCAGATTTTAATCTTACAATCAGTTAAAAAATGAATAGTATTACAGTAATTTTATTAGTGATACAGTTGAAATTGCAAAGAAAAGAATAATTCGATTCAATCACAACTATAATCAAGTAGTGTAGAAGTAGCGTTGCGCAAACGAGGAATTGCCGTAGGTCACGTCCTCTCGCACTCACCTAAACTCTGGAATCTTCTCGCTGTTTGTAAATGTTGGATTCGTCTCCAATCGGCGATGATCCCTATAGTGTTGACGCCAAGTTGTTCAATGCTCGGTCGGAGACGGAGCGCTGTTAGTTTTATAGGTAGCAGAGGCCCTCCTGAACTCCAATCGGGGGATGGGAGATCCTTCGGTTGCCATGTGAAATCCTACGGGTTCCACCGCTATGTCGCCTCCTCAGTATCTGTCCTTGTCTCGTCCTGCTGCCATGTCGTCGGTGACTCGTCCTGACTGACGTCCATTAATATGCAAATCTTCTCTCGATCGTCGGCTCTCTCTGGGACTTGTTACTAAAAATGAAGTCGATCATTCATCGAAGCCACGTCAATTACGTTATACTCAATTAACGGTGGCCGACGGAGGCGCTCTCTCTCTCTCTCTCTCTCTCTCCCCCCCTCTCCCCCTCTCTTTCTATCTATCTCTTTCTCTTTCTCTGCCTCTCTCTTTTTTTTCTTTTTTTCTCTTGCACGCGCTCACGCTCATCAGCTGGCAACAAGTTCATGATTATTAACGTAAAGCACGCCCTGTCATGTTATTCAGCAACTTGTCATTCTCCGATAAAACCCTCAACAGAGGGTGGGTCGCTGCCGTTCGTTGATCAGGTCCACCTCCGGAAAATCACTCACGATGACGCGTTCCTATCTCTCGTTTTTATTCTCTTTCTTCTTCGGGAAGCGAAAGACGATGAGAAAAAGCGAGACAGAAGAAAAGGAGGAGGAGGAAGAGAAATCTATCTCAGTGGCGAACGCATATCAATGTTCTTGTGTTTAATAATAACGAGATGTCGTGTGTCTGTGCATTTCTTTTTTGCTCGCCTCCGCATCCTCGCCAGCGTAAACGGCCGTTAAAATAATTTTCTCTGATAATTACGAGGATGGTAATAATCTTAAACGGTTTTTGTCCAACCATTCGAGAGTCGGGCGACGAGGCAGGTTGTAACTTTTGCGAATCGCCTTCGTCAAGTGGCCGATTTGAGTATCCTCAAAATGTGATTATTATCGGTTGAACGATTCGGACTTCACGCTTGCCTCGATCACTTATGATTTTTGTCCGGTGACAAACGTAAATAGCCACATATAGATGTTTTTGTATAGAGGAGAATAAGGCCAATATGAAAATTGAAGTAATCAATCTGCGTTAGTTACTTCATCATGCCGGTGTGATGCACGAGATGCATCTTGAGCTAACAGTAAAAAATTACCTTTCAAGAATCCGCGCTTAAGTTATAATTTATTATGAAGGTATAAATTAAGAAACTTTCTTCAACGTTGTAATCTCAAAGTATAAATTAAAGTTATTAATCGCTCCTTCAAACGCGAATATTCAAAATTCGACGCTGAACATTTTCGAATTATAAACGCCAATCTTGATATCTCTAAGGCGCGATATGAAAAACTTGAAGTAAACATCGATCTTTTTCGTTGCATTAATTTTTTTAAAGGCATAACAACATTAATGAACACGGGAAACAAAATTAAAATATTCCTTATTCCCAAATAGCAGACTAATATTTGTTTTTATCGTTTTGACATCAAAATAACGATAAATCACATTTGTTTATTATCTGGATTCTGTATTGAGGCAAAATTAAACCCTTCATTTGTATGAGGGTAAAAATAAATTCCTTATTTTATATTAAGGTAAAATTAAATCCTATAATATATTATTTTGAAGTAAAATTAAATCCTTCATTTTATTGATTATGTTAACACAATGTTCAAAGGTGGAGCCAAGAGAGCATGGCATCCTCTAAATCGCTTCCTGAGACGGTTGTATGCACCGGTGGACCGCGCAGAGAATCTCTTCCTGAAGATGCGCAATCTTTCCGTCATGGCGAACCAGATAGTGTTCCTGATCTTGGCGGATAAGGTGTTGCTGCCACAACAGAGGCTGACCTGCTTGTATACGCTTATGTTCTACAACGTGATAGCCTACTGTGTGAGCTACATCAAGGAGCTAATCCAGAAGGAGGATTGGTCACCGTACGTCACCTTGACTGAGCGATCTAAGATCAAGCATCTCGCGATGTCGGCCACCAAGATCGTGCTCGAGTGGACCAAGGCGGTAACATTCGTCGTCACGTTGACCTTCATGCTTCTCGTATTCGGACTGGAACAAGGTCTCGATCATTACAAGTGAGGAACTTGATTGAAGAGGAACCAATCCTCTTGGTCTATAATATGTATAATAATTAAGAATATCTATTAGAATTGTTCCTTGTCATACATACAATTGATCTTTTTCAATCAATGCATTTTTTTATAAGATTCCTATAGAAAGTATAAAAGTGAAAACGAAATCACTATAATTCTTAACGAGTAGTAAGCGTCGTTGTCATTATATTATTAATTATTACGCAATTTTTTATGTATAAAATCGTAATAAAATTACTGTTTTTTTAAAAGTTACAAAATAGTTAAAATCTATGCAAACTTGTTCTTAATGTTGATCAAAGGGTAAGGATTTGAGACGTTATAACAAAGTCTTAGCACAAAAATGTACAAATTTTGCTGTAAGAAAGTAAAAATATGCAAATTTTTACTATTTCTAATTCGACTCGTATACTTATACATTGATTATAGAAGGATTAATATTCAGTTTATTATTAAATTTTATTTAACATTTTATATTCTTTATGGATTCATGAGATAGTAATTTCTTTATTAATATTCTGTTTTCTAAAAAAAAATTAACAATTTCGATTTGTGAAGTGTAATCCATTCTACTTTATATTTCTTTTCCATCCCTTTAATTTGATGTCTTATCAATTTGCAGACCCTCATTAATCTATACGGTGATTACGTGGATTTATTATTCAGCGACGGAGAAAGTCTTCGTCGAGATGTTTCCAACGATCCTGGGTTTCTTACAGCTAGAAGCTTTGGAGAACATCGAAAATCTGTACGCGCCGGTGATACTCCGCTGCTTTACGATCGCTATGTCGGCCATCTTCAGCATTCTGCTATTGCCATCGGCCTCTTGGAGGTTTCTAATGGTTGCCACGTATTTGAATGTGTACTTACGATGGAAGGAACTAATGGAGAATTCCGGCGCGGTATTGCGACGAGAACGCGAAGTGTTAAATCGCTACAGGAAGGCGACCCTTGAGGAGATCGAAAGGTTTGATGACGTGTGTGCGGTGTGTCTGTGCGGTATGATGAAGGCCAGAGTGACACCCTGCCATCATCTCTTCCACGCAGACTGCCTGCGACAATGCCTGAAGACCAGCGACAAATGTCCCATGTGCAAGCGTGAGCTCAAGTTCGACTAAATAAATGACATCGAGGAATATACCTTTTTGATTGCCTCCAGAAAGATTTACGAGATTCTCAAAACGCGCCGTTGAAGAAGACGAAGAGAAGAGAAATGTATGTAGATGACATTTCGCGTAGGAAGATTTACGGCGTCTTTTATATATTTGGATTTACGACGGCAATAGCGTCGAAAGGATTTATAGCGTTCTTTTCGTTTATAAAAGATTTTAAAAAAAGAGCTTTAAAGAAGAGATCCAAAACGAAATTCTTATATTATTTGAAAAGAATGAATAAAAGGAGAAAGTACTTGCGATACTGTGGAACATCGACAATATTCGCAACGCATGGAATGCATGTTCCTTTAGATATATATTACTGTGATATAGATCAGCAGCAATGTAGCTTATTGTTAGGATTATATCGGAGATATACAATAACTTTACTGTCACGTCGGTCAATTTGTGACCAACACACGTCATTCATAACTTTAATGTAACTGGCGAATGGAAATACGCTTATTTTATATTATTGTCCTGATAAAAATATTCCTTACAATTTTTCATAATTTTTTAGAATTTTTATGTAAATATTAGAATTATTTAAAATTTCTATATAATTTTATATTTTTAAAAAATTCCTTAAATTTTTTATATGTGAATTGGAACATTTTTCAAAAATACTGAGAAAATCTAAATCTTTTCCAGAATTTTGTCATATATGTGAATTTATGTTCTAAAAATCTATATTCTGATGTTTGTGAATATCTGAAATATTATATTTGTATCTTGAAATCTATATTATGATATTAGGATTTTCCCATTCTGTAATTTCTGGAATAAATTTATAAAATTTGAAATTTAAGATATATTTTCAGAAATCATCATAAATTTAAAAAAATATAACAAATTCTTATGAAATAATCAAAAATATTATGAAATATTATGAGAATTTTTTTCACCAGGATATCTATTTTTCGTTGTATAATGCCCATCGAGGAAAACTGTGAATTGCGATGTTTATACATATATTTGTAAAACACTTTTTTCGTTACGTTTTGCACGAATTGTGTAAAACCCCACTTTAATTTTTATGTATCTAAACAGCTTGTTATTATACAATCTTAAATATGGAAAATTGTGCTTTGCAGCAAATTGTTCGATAGAATAAATAGAATTTAAAATAGTAATTTAAAATAGCAGTTTTGTACGCTACAATTTGTTTTTTAGAAATTGTAACGAAGCTCTTTAAGAGCCGTATGATAATGCAATTAAGAAATCAAATAGTATTAAAAGATTTCTCTGTAGAATAAGTTTTAATTTTCATATTCAAAATAAACTCTAGTCTCTAACAAAGCTTCATTTTCTCGGGAGTTATGGCAGATAGAATAAGTTCTTATATTCCATTGAAGCTCTCAATATCCGTATATCCGATGATATACGCTTTTTAAGAATAATTTGTCGCTTACTTAAACAGTAAATTTTCTTCTTGAAAAAAAAAAGAAAATATTTTTTCTCTATATATTAAAATATTTATTTGTTTCTATCGCTTCCTATATTCTATTAGATTCATGTAACACTATTAAATGTACGAAACCAGATTTCGAGCTTGAAATACATGTTTTATTTGTATTCTTGACTTTTAATTGTATTCTTTGATGTAAAAATCCTCTTTTGCAGCATCAAACATTCATTCTTCTCCATCAAATTTCCGAGTGGTGTTTGTATATTCTCCATCAGGACTATTGTAATTTTCTATTGGAGGTGTTTTTAATGGTCCTTTTACTGTATGTGGTAAAAGTCCTAAATCCGGCTAAAACATATACAGATGAATGAATTTATACCATGTAATAGAATTCTTCTTTCTATTCAAAATTGCTTACAATTATAGCATAAAAATAATTATGCTCAGTTTAATTTCTTGAGTAAATTAATAATTAATTACTTGTACTGCTTCTTGATACAAATCTTCTGATTCTGCCCTTAGCTCATCGAGTGCCTTTTGCTGCGAATAAAAGATAGAATCTATTGCCTGAATGTTAGCTAAATGCTGTTGAGATTTATATCTATTCCATTCTTTTTGCAATAAAATTTTAGACTCCATTTCCTCTTCTGATATCGATGGAAGTTTTCGCAGTCTTTGCCTGAAACCAATTTCCAGTTTAGTAAATCGCAGACATAAGAACATTATAAACATTATACTTGTCCTGTATATAATTTGTTTGCATAGAAAACTTACTCCTTTTCTTCTATTAATTTGGATGGTACTTCCAACTCGCTGATTGGTTTTAGTTGCTTAGATAGCTTTTGCAATCTACGAATTTGTTTTTCTAACTTTCTTCGTCTTCTTTCTTCTCTTGCCCTGATAATCGCAGGATCTAATCTCTTTTTTTTCTTCAACGGTTCTCCTCTATAGAATAAATAAAAGAGAATTACAACATACTTGTAATTGTGCTATAATATGTACATCAGATATTACAAGAAATTTACAATGGTAACTTACAAAAGTACACTGCTGACTCTGAAGTACAGTGGATCGGTACATGCTGAGATGTTTCGTATGCCAGGTATAATGTGTACTGATAGTCTGAAAGGAAAAGATTAATTTTCGTGAGAGTCTTCCTATTGAACTTATAAAAGCATTGTTCGTTTTGTCTTTCGGGAGCTGTTCGGAATCACTCCGAACAAACTCAGTGTACTTAAAATGTATAGGATTCACACTACATACGATATCCATCATATGATGTCCGATATTCATCGTTACAATCCCAAGTAGCTCCCGAAAGACAAAACGAACGCTAAAGATAATGTACAATTTAATCACATTGACATTGAATAATTCTTTTATCAAAATCCAATTAATTATAATAGATTATTACTTAAATAATAATTTATTTCAATGCTGAATTTAGATTATTACTTAGAATGTCGTAATTACCGCGATAAAGCAGGCAGCAAATTCAAGACATTCATCTTCTTAGGATAACCTTCTTGTGCATTCACTTCTCTCCCTTCACTTCCATGAAAACATTGCGCAATGTCGCAAATGTCATAGATGGTCGCAATAAAGCAGTGCCTTAGCAGTATTCTCCCTAGTCACTAAAATCCCTACATGTCGTAAAAATACCTTAGAATTTATCGATAGTGTCAGAGAATGTACGTAGTCACGTAGTTCCCAAACTGAAAATGGATGTACTGGCGGTAGTGTACGGGTAATTTCAATGGTAACAGAAAAAAGACCGGCATGGCCTTTCTCGGATTTCTCATTGTGGTTACCCACGTGCGATGTCACGTGTTATATGTGTTCGGCGTTGCCTGGCAACGGTTTGACATTACACTGAATCGCCGCAAATGTTGTACGTACACATGTGTCAATCACTATTCACTAGACAGAATTTAAAAGGAAAAGGAAAATAATTATCACGATGACAGACGAGGTGCGACCCGAGGTGATAAAGAAAACACAGAATGTACTCGGAAAATATTTCAAAAAGCCGCCACTGACCGAGAAACTACTCCGCAAACCACCATTTCGCTTCCTCCACGATATTATAACAGCTGTAATTTATCGCTTGTGTATAATTTTAGATATTGAAATAAGTTTTTAATTCTCTTTTTGAAAATTGTTTCATCTTAAATTTATTCAGAATATAGATTTATACAAATCTTGCTTGCATTTAAAATATTATATATAGTAGAAAATTGATTTCAGATCATTAAAGAGACTAATTTCTTAGAAGGATTATTTAGCGAGGAAGAGCTAAATTCAGATAATATAAAGGATAAAGAAGCTAAGCTTACTTTCTTGACAAAACTCATTGATGTTGTTAGTGAGTATTTAATTTTACTGAATTGTCACATTCTGTTACTATATACATGATATCTAAATGTATTATATGAATATTAGAATTAATCTCGGGTGCTAATTTAATGGTCAGAGCAAGTAAAATCATCTCTGGTCAAGAGCCTACAAAGACAAATGAGCTGTTGCAAGCCATTGGAAAAGCCCTTGATAAGAAAGTAATACATTTTGCTTTTTAAGTAGAAAATCATTTTTAAAATAAATTAATAGTGGGTTTATTTACTTAGGTCAGTAGCAAGGAGGCGATTGACCACTACAAAAACAGCTTGGAAAAAAAAGTAAAGGGATCAAAGTCAAAATCCACGACTAAAGAGGAAACTTCGAAGAAGCCTGCATCAAGACAGTCTTCGCAAACGAGGAAATCATCGGAAAAAGATAAGATCTCAGCGGAGCGAAAAAAAAGGTCATCTAGTACAGGGAAAGTAGTATCAGAAACAAAGCGAGATAAAGATGACAGAACCGAAGAGAACAAAGCAAAAAAAGAAAATGATTGGAAGGAGGAAAATTCAAAGAATATTGAGGCCATAGATATCCCACCAGCTGAAGTAAAAATTCAAAGAAAAATTCATATCGCTTAAATCAGTGATGCGCAATCTTTTTTTAAAGATCATTTTCAAAAAGCCATTTTTAGAAATAGGTAAAATCTTTCGAGTCACATAATGTTTATTTCATCTGTATAAAATAGAAAATATTCATATTTTCAGCCGATAATTTTCAGCTGATATTTTCTGAGTTGATAAACTGCAAAAAACTTACACACGTGCCATAGGTTGCACATCATTGATTTGAATAATAGAGCTTTTAAAACAAATATTTATTAAAGAAAATTGAAGTTTTATTTTTTTTATTTTAAATTTACAATAATGCTTGATTCTGTAATTAAAAGATAATTTTTTAATATTTTTTCTCAAGTGCTTTAATATAACTCATTTAAAATACATCTTACTTTTATTGTATTCACAGCCAGTTCAGAATAAAGTTCCTACTTCGGCACAAAGAAGAAGGCCTTCTTCGTCCGCCAAAGTAAAGCAGGATGCCATGATTTTAGCAAATGCCAATGATCTGGTGAAGGAAGAACAGGTACAATATAAAAGTGCCTCTGGTGAGAAAAATGCTTGGTACAAGTGAATAGGTCACAAGAAAAAAAAAAGAAAATATCATTACAGATATCTAATAACGAAAATAAACCAGTAACGAGTAATTATACTAAAGGGATTAAGGAAAATGGAATGGAAGAG